ATATGACAATCATTACCATCAATACAATAGGTTGAGGTGAAATTTTTATGGCATTCGAATTTTTATTGACTTTGACACACCCACCTATCCCCCTATCCAAGCGTTGGTAAATGGTCATTGTGGATGCCACTATTTTCTCAATGGCCGCCATCTTGGTTGACGACACGTGAAGTGTCAACCAAGATGGCAGCTCAAAAAGTAGTGCAAAACACGTGTTAATAAAAACCCTAACCCTATATCTATCCCGAGCAAAATCTTTTTAAAAATCAATGAAATTTCAATAAATTTGTACTCACTCCTTATGCATCAGAATCTTGTATTTGGGGAGGATACACAATTTTTATAGCATTTAAAAATTCTTTCATTTAAACTCTATTACCACATAAGTGTCGCCACATATATTCAAATAAATATGAGTTGAACTGCTCCTCCCCAGGACAGGTTCTTGTGGGCAGAGATCGTTTAATTGCACTCCAGGTGCCCTCTATGGTGTTGGTGTGTGCGCCCGTTTCAAAGTGTTTGAACTCAATTGTATGGTTCACCCTCAGGTGGTGAAACCCTACAGTTGTAAGACCTCCAACAATCAGAAATTATTGTGGTTCCTGGCTGCACTAATTCTTTAATTATTGCCAGGAGGACGGCTTTACCGCAGTTCTTAACAACCCTGAAAAAGATTTTGCTTGATCCTCTTTCAATCCCACCAACACCTATTTTCCTTCTACGCATTTGCCTCTATGATACTTCCGCTTGCCGAATTTGGATTCATCTATCTCCACAATTTTACCCACTCCTCCTAAGCTCTTACTCATCACAACACACGCTTCCACGCAGACCTCGCCACAAAAAGCTGACCCAGTCTTTTACGGTACCCCGACAAATGCTTACTTCTTTCGCAATATGTCCTAAAGGCATTTTTCTTAACCAAAAATGTGTCAATAACATAATGTCACACGTCAATCTACTGTCACTAAAACACGACCCCTTCCTTAAACTATGCACAATATTCCCATGACTTTTGTCACCACATTGCCATGCAAACTCATCTAAAGCATTTGCCCATGCACACAAGTTCATACCCTTCTTACAATGGGGACATTCGTATCTATCTGCAATGAGACCGGTACTCATGAGCCAATCTATCACACTCCTTTCGCCCTGACTTTTCAGACGATTCCAAAAACAGGCTCCATCTGCATAAATTTACCCAATATCTATCTAACTAAAACTGCTGACGATGCAAAAAAAAAACAACAACCACTTTTGAACTTACCGGGCACCAGGTCAAGCAATCAAGAATAGCAACAGATGTAATATATAAGCACTCCTTTCTATATCCGCATCATTGTAAAGTACCCAAGAAAAAAAAATAATTTCTCACCTTTTTGTCAAAATAGAACATAAAATAAAATTTTATGTCTATATTTAAAAATTATATTTCTTTTTTTCATTTATTATGAAAGTAAAAACCCAAAAGAAACAAATAAAATATAATATTAACCATTCCTCGGGCGAATTAATACTAATACATAAAAATATTAGTTATCTTAAAATAAACAAAGGGAAGTGACTCCCTCATGCAAACACCGAAAAAAGACGTCGTGGCATCCCCAACTACCATTAGCCCCAAGCGTCTCATATGCAAAATCTCCTTAATCAACAACCCCCACCTCCCCTCTCAGTGCGTACATAACATAATATAAAATATGATTGTCTAAACTTTAAAAAAATATTACAACCAATCGTTTTTCTTGTTCCATTCACTGCCAGATCTTTATTAGAAAGTGCTAAAACTTCAACAACCAAAAATGTATTTTATTTTATCGGAAAAAATTACCATAATCATAATCATGATGATGCCTATCAAACTCTTCATAATATTTTTTCACAGAGTCTCTGAAAATCATAGAATTGGCGAGTCTCGGCGTACAAACAACCTCCTCATCCTCATGTCCCTTAGTCCTTGGACCGTTGGGGCGTCACAGATGACATGTGAACCATCCTCCTCCATTCCTCTCCGTCTTCAGCACTACCCACTGCATCGCCCAGTGTTATGCCTGTCCACTCTTTGATGTTATCCTCCCATCTTTTTCTTTGTCTTCCTCTTCTTCTCCCTCCTCTTGTGGTCCCCTGCAATATTTCTTTGGCAAGCCCTTGTTTCCTTGTTATGTGGCCGTACCATTGTAGTTTGCGTTTTTTCACAGACACCAGTAGGTCATCGTACTCCCCAATTGCCTACAAACCCTTTCTTTCACTGTTACATTGGAGATATGCTCCCTAGAGCAGATGCCAAAAATGCTTCTGAAGCATCTCATCTCCATCACCTTTATTTTCATTTGAAGATCTGCTGTTAATGTCCAGGATTCGCAGTTTCGCAGGCATACAGGAAAATGGAGAGGACTAATGACACTGATTAGCAAGTTATAAAAATAATCCAACCCCCCCCCCCCACATGTGAACTATGTTCCAGCCTTCTAGCACGCCTAAATTAGGAAAAGTAAACTACTGTATAGTATTTCACTGTATAGGGTAAAGTATAATATAAGTTAAAAGTAAAGCAACAATATAAAAACATGTGCTGGGTGGTAAGGTAAAATTAAGGCCAAGGCTTATAAAATTAAAACTTCCTCTTCACTTGATGGAACTAAAGGCCTAAACTAGCGTCTTTTTGTTCATGTACAATATCCATTTAACAAAATTGAACAAGATAAAAAAAAAAGGTAGCCTACAGTTCATGAATCTTTTGTCATTTACGACGCCATTGTGGGAAAAAACAAGGAGAACTCTTCTGTCTTCAAAGATACGTTATAAAAGTTGCCCAATTGGATATATTTAGATTTAAATAATTTTTTTAACACTTTATAGATCTATCTACTTTGATATTTATTTATTTATTTAGGCATTTTTATATAGCGCTTACCTTAAAGCTCTAAGCGCTTTACAATTATTAAAAACATGTAAACTAAGTAAAATTAAAATGAGACACTAGGATAGTAACTACTATACTATAGAAACAATGAAAATGGCTATAAAACGAGGACACTTTGACACGTTTTGGCCTATACTTCAGGATCAACCCGAAACAGAAAATGAGGCAGGGCAAGGAGGGTGCATCACAGGTCATAGGCGGACCTAAACAGATGAGTTTTAAGGGACTTTTTGAAAATGGACGAGGTTTCAC